CCCTTTAACAGTTGGAAAGTAGTCTCCCGTGACCATTAGGGATGAAAATGCAACCTTTTTGATGGTTGAGAGAAAGATATGCAACAAGCAATAGTTTTGGTAGGTTTTCTGCAATTCTGAAATAGTTGAGAGAGTCTTTGGCACTTTTGCCTAACTATAATTAGTTCTAATTCGGTCAAAAAAGAGGGCCAAAAGGGATAATTTGCAGTTGTAAAAAATGTAGAGGGCATATTTCTAAACCTTCTCAAACTACTAGTCTACAAGAGAGTTTAGTGCAATAAGGTCGCAGCGGACATGCTTTTGATAAGAGCCATTTGCAACACCACCGAGTTTAATTCCTGTTGTTTGCATTTCAGTTTTAGCAACAGATCCTCGAAGCATAACTGCCAAAATAAGACCAGTCTAGCAAGGATTGCCATAGAGATCACAAATGTAAAGTCTAACGTTAACGACACTCTTATCACTCGTCAACCAACTGCTTAGTCAACTCATGACCATAATTATGGCAAAAAAAATTTGAGGAGTGTCAAGATTTGTATGACCTAATTAAGTGTGTACAATATAATCAAAGTGGGTCTACCATTTTTCGATAAAGGGAGATATAGAGACGCCTGTCTTTTGTAACTGGTATTGCTCATGTTGCTTCTGCCACCTGCAACGACGCCGGCATAGTAGCATTGTACCAGAAGAACGTTGTGGTCTTTAAAATTCTCTATCGATACAATGATGATCTTGAAGAACTTGTCTAAGTGATCATCAAATCATATATTATTATTCTAATTTGAGGAATAAACAAGCTCTATTTACTTTATTTTTGAATGCCACCTCATATTTGCTTTCTATCCATCTCCAAGTCAAATTTGTTTTAATTTACTGAATTTCATATTCAAACCAAAATAATAATTAGCTCGATCTTCGCTCTTGCCTGCCCCTCTAATCAGATGATGGAGTTACGCCTAGATTGTTTGTTGACGGGCTGTTTTCGATCTAACGAGTGGGTTGTTAGATAATTGTTTCCTAGGGGCTGTTTGGCATCTACTTTGTTTTTGTGTTTTTGTTTCAGGCACGCTACAATAACCCAAATGAAGCCCAAAATATGTTTGGTTGGTTTTGTTTTGTTTTGCACAGTTATAAAGTATTTCAATAAAGAGGCCCAAAACTAAAAACACCATTTTGGTGTTTTATCTTGTTTCAGTACTGTTTGGACAAATTTTCACTGTAGCAGAGGAAGTAGCCGGCCCAACTTGTTTCACGTATATAACATTTTAGGTCATTTTTTGGGCAAATTTTCTCTCTCCTCTCCTGATACTCTCTCTCTCTGCGATTCAAGGGCGATATCAAATACAACACCGAAGCTGGATTTTCATCACCACCGACCCAAGCCATTGAAGAAGATATTAGGTAGAAAAATCGAAGCGAAGAGTGAGAAACCTCAGAGAGGGCCAAACGGAGAGAAGCGAAGAGAGTGGTGAAGCTCTCGGCAATCGCCACGGAGTCCCTCTCGACCACTTTGAGCGCTCCCAGAATATCTTTCTGACCAAATTTCGAGGGTTTCGATTCACCAACTCCGTTATCTTCTTGATCTTCCTGAGAATTCATTCCGGTGATGCGTTGTTGATTGTTAATTCGTTTCGGTATCTGAAATTAGGGTTTCTGAGGAGATCGTTGTTGTCGTTTGAGCTTTGTGTGCACCTCCTTCTTGTGCATCCATTTTCAGGTGGTTCCTCGAAGGTCACACCAGTTGGCTGCGAATTTGATCGTGAATCTGTGACCGATTAATGTTTGGGCAAGTTTTCAGTCCGAGCCCTTAACTGGATTTTCATCACCACCGATACATGTGTGTGTGTGTGTGTCTATATATATATATATATATATATATATATATATATATTTTAATTTTTGCAATAAAGATATTACATGTGTATATAAACTAGTTTATTGCAAAAATTAATATATATATATATATATATATATATATATATATATATATATATATATTTGTGTGCCCAAACATGTTTTTCAAATTTTTATTTCTGACATTTTCACAACAAATCATAGTTCCCGAACGTACTTCTGAATTTTCTCCAAAACCTCTACAACAAAAACATTGTTTTGCCAAAAACAAAACGCATGCCAAACGGGCCCTTATATACATGTATATATATATATATATATATTCCCTCTCATTCACGGGCTCACAACTTTTGGTTCCTAACAATTAAAGCCCTTACTACCCACCATATATATAAGAAGCAATTATTCCACAACCTCTGGATTAGCCTCTCTATTCTTCCCAAGGCAGTACTAGCTGAAATCAACAGCCTCTTAAGAAATTTTCTTTGGTCTGGGACTGACCTCAAGTTCATTGGGGCCAAGATCACCTTGCTAGTAGTCTGTCAGCCTAAGGGTGTGTTTGGTAGGGTTGATTTGGAGGGATAGGGAGAGAAAAGAAAAGAGAGAATAGTGTGAATTGTGTTTGGATGGGTTAAATGGAGGGATAAGGATGGATAGGGAGGGATAGCTATCCCTCCCTATCAGCTATTGTCTTTCTCTCCCAATTTGAGAAGATAGGGAGAGAAAGGAGAGTGGGAATAAGTTATAAAGTTGTAATACCAAAAATGGCCTTTAGAAATCTACACACTGAATTGTAATTCCATGCATGTCCCAATGATATATTACTCTTACTAGGGCAACAACCGGTTAAGAACTGAAAGGCGACGCAGAAAACTTGAGAGGCGACGCAGAAAACTTGAGAGGCGACGCTGCTTCAAAATACTTCTCAGACTTGGGCAACGGCGACGCTGCTTCTTTGTCTTCTCCAGCTTCGGCCGTGACCACAAATCTTCCTCTAATCAGATCAGGTCAGTATTATTGCAATCAATTGATGCTTTTGAATCAATTTTTGGATTTGTTTTTCTTGTTAATTTTTTGTAAACCCTAGTTTTTAATTTCTTTGCACTTTCATCAAAGGGGTGATGATGGTGATGATGTTAATAATAATGATGATGATAACTAAGGATTCTGATTGTTGGGCATTAAATTGATAAAGAAAATAAATGCTTTTTGCATCCAACAGAGCCTAGTAATCTGGCGGCTTATAATGAGATTCTCCATATGATTGATGGTCATTAATTGTATTTTCCAATATAGTCAATTTCATAAATTAGAATGGTCCAGATAACTATCAATCCTCATTGAGATTTGAATTATTGAAGCTACGCAAGTGAAGTTGAAAATATGAAGGAAAAGCGATAAAATTTATTTATTGTTTTATATTAAGATTTGAATGTTCACCCTAAGTGAGCTAATTAGTGTGATTTAAATGAGAAAGATAGGGTTTTGATATAATTTTGGATGTTTGTAGCTTCAATTATGAAATGGGTTAGTTGAGGTATTTGAGTGAGCAACTACACACTGCAATCTGTTTAGATGCTGAGATTAGTTAGGGAAAGGAAAAAAGAAAAGCAACCTTAATTTTATTTTCTGTGTTGTTTTAGTTTCTAAAAGAAGACAACCCTGATGCTTATATGTTCTTTCCCACATGGATTGATTATGGGTATAACTCAAGTATTTCCCATAGGCCAGCTACTTGGTGTTCTCTCTTCTGCATGTAGGAAATTTTCGACTCTGTAGAGAGAGAAAATCAGATATACTGTATATTAAAGGGGTTCCCCAATTAGCTGAACCAATATTGTATAAATTCACAACAATACCTCACTCACTGAGCTCCAATCATCACATGCAGGTGCACATATATGTATATCTATGTGTAAGTACGCATATGCATATAGAGAGAGTACAAAATTACAATCACAAATACACATGAACATAAAGATTTTCACTTGAACAACAAATTTTACATTAGAACGAAACAAAACATCATAATTATGAACTGGGCACTGCCCTAATTCATAAAAAAAAAACCCACAAATTCCTCAAAAAATGATGAATTAGAGCAATTCCCCAAGAAGCCGAACAAAGAGATAGTAAATAGCTATGTTGATGGGTTATTGTCGTTCTGTTTCCAGCATGTATATAAATGTCTTTATAGGTTTCGAGTGACTGTTTTTTTTTTTTTTTATTTGACCATCAAGTGACTTCAACATTATAAAACTTCTATGCAAAGGTTTTGACCTTTTCCTGAATTAGGTAAATTAAAAATTAGTGATTCACACCCAAAAATAAAAAATATGAGGGCAAAAAATTGTAGGGGTTTCAATATACTTTTAAAAGCTCCATCATTTTCTTCTACGTTTTTAACTTTTTAGGACTAGTAATATATATATCTGAGTACAAAGCTTTCTAATCTCTCTCCCTCTCTTTGGTCTATTATTAAACTGTGTAAACTGTGTAACTTTTTAGGACTAGTAATATATATATATCATTTTCTTCTACATTTTTAACTTTTAGATTCAAATTTACTTGTCTTTGTATCCTAAGTAAGCTGTGTGAACCTTGGATTTTCTTTTTAGATTCAAATTTACTTGTCTTTGTATCCTAAATGCTTGTTTATCTTGTCTGCACCAAGTATAATATTTTCCTGTATCAGTCCAAGTATTGTATAGTTGAACATATTTAAGATTAACGATCACCTTCAAATTATGTTCCAAGTTCGCTCTAAACACAAATACAAAACCATTTTTATGAAAAATTTAAAAGATTTCATAACTTACAACCAATTTTAAGATTATTCATCAATTTTATTTCATCAAGTATTGTATAGTTGAACATATTTAAGATTATTCATCAATTTTAATTGCTTTCAAATTTTTTTTTTCTTGGTGATTAATATATCATTTTGCATTTTACAATTTTAGATGGAGAGACAACGAAATGAGATACGAAAATTACATTTAATGTGGGAACAAAGACGACGTAAAATTGCAATTCTAGTCACTACCATTGCCGTGTATTGGTTTATGCGTCGAAAACATAGAAACTATATAGATAAACCTATTACACAATCAGAAATTGAAAGGCAAATAACACGGGATAAAATAATGAACGAGCTTAGGGTAAGTGTGAAATGTCGTAACATTACTTGTATGGGACCAGAAGCTTTTCAAAATTTTTGTGAGCTGCTTATGAGAGATGGTGGTCTTCGACCCACAAGACATACAAGTGTTGAAGAGCAAGTTGCCAGGTTTCTTCACATTATATCACACAATGTGAGGAATCGGACAATGTCATTTTTCTTTTATCGCTCTGGTGAAACCATAAGCCGTCATTTTCATAGTGTGTTAAAAGCAATAATATCCTTGGAAGGACAGTTCCTCAAGCAACCTAATGGATCGGACGTCCCCCCAGAAATACTCAATAACGATAGGTTTCATCCATATTTTAAGGTAAACGTGATTATTACTTGTACCCCTTAATACTTCCATTTTTCTTTTCTCACCAACTATTACATGCAAATTTTTATAAAATAATTTATCTTAGAATTGCATTGGGGCAATTGATGGAACACACGTTCGTGTGAGAGTACCTAACGAAGATGCACCAAGATATCGTGGCAGGAAGAATTATCCAACAATAAATGTGTTAGCTGCTTGTTCATTTGACATGAAGTTTACCTATGTCTTACCTGGATGGGAAGGTACCGCTTCAGATTCAAGAGTTATGGCTAGTGCACTAGAAAGAAATGGAGATAAACTAAAACTTCCTGAAGGTAAATTTTGTTAATATTAACTAAAAAATTATTAATATGAAGCCAATATTAATTATTATTGTGCTTAATAGGGAAATATTATCTTGTTGATGCGGGATACCCATTGAAGGCTGGACTTATCACGCCTTATAGAGGTGTGCGCTACCATTTAAAAGAATGGTCCTCACGTCGACCGGAGAATCCTTGAGAGTTATTCAACCTTCGACATGCATCACTACGCAATATTATTGAGAGAATTTTTGGTGTGTTGAAGAAACGATTTCCTATCATAGGAAGCAGTACTGAACCAACATATGATGTTAATACTCAAGTTGATATTATTTTAGCATGTTGCATCATACACAACTATTTAATGGGCATGGATCCTGATGAAAGCCTTATTAATGAAGTAGACCGGGAGCTGTTGAATGAAACTCGAAATGAAGAGGCTGGTCCAGTTGAGAGAAATGAAGATCATAGTTTGGGGGAATACTTGAGAGATTCAATAACTTCCCATATGTGGCATGACTATGTAGCTAATCAAATGTGATATTTCAAATGTTTATTTGCTTGAAAAAACTTAACGTCTTTTTATGTTAGAGTGCTTGTTTTGATTTGAAGATGTAGAATGTTAATAATTTGTTATAAATTCCTACTTTGCATATATTTATTTATGTGTCTTTAATTTTCATTTTATTTTTTTTTCTCTTTCTTTGTGTTATACTTGTTATTATATAGATATAAGAATGAGTAAAGAATCAAACATAAGTGGTGTGTCGAAGAGGGACAGATTGGATTGGAATGCACAAATGGATGATATATTTGTGGATGCATTACATAATCAATATCTCAAGGGAAATATGCATGATGGGACATTCACAACAAGAGCTTATCATGAAATTGTTGAGGAATTGAAACAAAAACTCGGAATTGATATCAACAAAGCTAAAGTGAAGAATCGATTAAAAACAACCAAGACTCGTTTTAACGAGTGTTTGGACTTGTTCAAAAATGGTTTGAGTGGGTTTGCTTGGAGTCAAGAAACAAAAATGTGGAACGCTGAACCTGAAGTTTGGGCTGATTTGACTGCGGTTGGTTCTCTAATTGTGATTATTATTATTATTATTATTATTTTACTATTAAGAGATACATAATTTATTTATTTATTTATTTATTTTCATTTTGAAATAATGATAATATATTTATTTTTTCTCTTTTATGTTTTGCCAACAGGCAAAACCAGCTGCTGAGAAATGGAAGACTGCTACGATTTCTAATTATGATAAGTTGCTGGATTTATTTGGCAAGGATAGGGCAAGGGGGTTTAATGCCCTAACTGCTAAGGAGAGGATGGCTAAATGGTCAGCAAATGATAAGGAGAAGAATAATGAATCAACAGCAAGTGCTAGTGAGAGGAGTAATGAATGGGTGCCAACTCATAATGATGATCCTATGGATAGCATTTATGGTATTGATCACTTGGTGTCACGGAATGAAGCAAGTTTGGATAATACGGGTTTTTTGGATACTGAGTTTGAATATATGAATATGATGTCTCCTGAAACACCTTCAAGTGTACCTTCCCATTCCACTTCTTCTTCAAAAGGAAAAAGAAAAAGGAAATCCTCGACTACTAATCAAGACAACCTAATGATTGGAGTAGTGAGCGGTGTTGCTGAATCTCTTAAAGAGGGAAATGAACTTCTTAAAGAGGGAAATGAACTTCAGAAAACATTCAACAATCTTTATGAGAAGTGCAACCAAAAGGGAAAATATGAAGAAGATATCTTTAAGGAGTTGGCAGCAATTGGAATAGAGGAGCATGCAATTGTTGACGCTTTCATTTTTTTGACTACGCATGACCATCCTGATAGAGTGACACAATTTCTTGGTTGTCCATTTAATCATCGCAAGCAACTCTTGGAGAAATTGATGTCACGTGCTTCTAGACATTGACTATGGTTTTAGTTATATTGTCTTTTGGGGATGTCTTTTGGTGGAACTTTCTACTATTTCTACGTTTAGTTATATTATGTTTAGTTATTGCTATGAAGCTTTTGGGATATTAACTTTGAAACCGTATGTTTGTTTTACTTATATGAGACATTATAACGCGTTATCTATTTTGGAATGCTTGATATAGGTAATTTTATTTTTTTGTGTGCTTGTTATCTATTATGGAATGCTTGATATGGGTTACTTTATTTTTTTTTCACTACTGGTGTCTCTGTTATGTGGTGGAAGCATTTTGTGAGATCCATTCTGGTGGCTATGCATTAGCTTTTTTTATTTTATTTTTTATATCATATACTATGAGACTGTTTTGGTTACTGCTATGCATTGAGTAGTGTTTCTAGATCATATACCGCGAGACTGTTTTTGTGAATATGTACATATATTGCGAGACTGTTTTTGTGAATATGTCATATACTATAGTCTATAGACTTGCAGATGATAGACTGAGCAGGCTTCTGAAATTCCTTAACTTTCAATACTTGTAGTATGTGAACCGTCGCCTATACAGTTCTATCTCTATAATGTAGTTCTTTTGAAGTGGCTAAATTTTTTTATAGATATGTTCTATTTGCATCATATTTTGCTTTATATTTAAATTTCTGCCTATAATAAAAAAAATCCATTTTATATGATAGCAGGTCAAGTGTAGAAAATACCCTTAAAGTATGCATGCAGTGCGTATCACTCCTGAATTGCCAAAAAAAAATTTAAAGTTTCAATTTGTGTAAGGAGTGTTTGACTAAAATGCCCTTACTAGACATTTTATAAATTATATTAAAAAAATACCAAAGGAATGACCAAATAAGTCACAACCTATGTTTTGTGACATTTTGATGGGTTGTTGATAAGAATTTGTCGCCTGAAGTTATGGAGTTTGAAGTCACCCAAATGCGATATGAATCTTGGTCAGAGACTCTTTGTTGGTATATATATATATAAATCTAAATATAAATCTAAATTCAAACAAACCTCTTTCAATAATACATACTACTAATGAGAAAAGAAAAAATAAATCAATCAATCAATAATAACAAAAAAGAATGAAAAAATAATATTATTATTATGGAGAGTATGAATTGAATTAGATTGATTTGAGGTTGGATTGAAGCTTGAGATGAGTTTGGATTTATTTGGTGGATTTATTTATTTGAATATAATCCATCAAAGAAACACATTTAATTACATAATATGTATCATTTAATTTTAATGACCTGTAAGGGTAAGATAGTAATTTAGTCACTATCCTTTTTTTTTTTTTCTCTCTTCTATATTATCCAAACAAGAATAACTATTCTTTCTTTTCTTTTCTCCCCTATCTATCCAAACACGAATATAAATTATTACTATCCTTTCTTTTCTTTTCTTTTCTCTCCTAACTAATACTATCCTTTCTTTTCTTTTCTCCCCTATTTATCCAAACACACCCTAAGAGTTGTGGAGGGCTTGGGTTCAAAAACCTGGAAATTGCTAATAGTGCAGCCTGTTTGAAACATATTTGGACGCTCCTCTCTTCTCAAAGTGACAATATCTGGGTTCAGTGGGTTCGAACGCAGCTTATCAAAGGGAGATGCTTTTGGACCATCAACATTCAGCAGTTATCTTTTAGCTGTTGGAAAAGACTGCTTCAGCTTAGGGGAGCAGCAAGGTCAATGGTAAAAATGAAGGTTGGGTGTGGTGGATAAACCTTTTTTTGGGAGGATAATTGGCTTCGTGTCCTTGCAGATTTCATAAGGAACTCACCCATTCCCAGACCTGCTGAATGTTGATCCACCTTCCTTATCCACTGATACCATCGTCTGGATCCCCTCCTCCACTGGGAAGTTCTCACTTTGGCACACTGTGGACTGGCTTGCCCCACATTTTTTGCCCAAAGAGTGGCATCACTTGGTATGGAATTCAGTCTCCATCCCTCGGTGTAGGTTTTCACTTTGGCTTGCAGTTCAAAAGTGTCTTCCCACTTACGATCGCAGATGCATGCAATCATTTTCTGGTTCAAGACTTTGTCGCCTCTGTCAATCAATTGAGGAATCACATGACCATTTGTTCTTCTCATGTTCTTTCACGAATCCAATTTGGGGTTTCATGCAGTACAAATTAAGAATTCGAGTATCTCACCTCAATTGGGGAGAATTCAACACTGGAGATCTCGGAACCTGCAAAATTCGATCAATAAAATAGTACTATCCACAACTGTTAATCAGAAATGGAATGAACGCGATAATCGGGCTTTTAAAAACCAAAGGAGCTCTCAGACTACGGTTCTGAATCGTAGCATGGATTTGGTGAAGCATCACTTGATCTCTGCTCGATTCAAGGACACAGCCTCGGCTCGTCGAATTGTTCTGGATTGGGATCTGCAGCAGTCTGTCATCAGGCCTCTGCCGGAGCCGGATTTATCTCTGTGAGGCGCTGCCTCGTCGAATGGAACCACCGGATGTTGAGTTGGCTGAGACAACATTAGTCTAGGGTTTTTTGTTATTTTAGCCTAATTTTGTCTTAGTGTAGCTTACCCTTGTTTTAGCCTAATTTTGTTATTCTAGGGTTGGGCTGTATGTCTAGCCCTTGTTTTAATTGGCTTGCCAATCTGGTTTGAGATTGGGCTAAATATTAGGCCTCTGTTTTTGTTTGGGCTTTGGCCTTGTACATTTTGCCTTTATTCAATATAGAAGCTTACCTTCCGAAGAAAGAAAGAAAGAAAGGAAAAAAATAAATAAATAAAAAATAAATTCCACAACCATGTGATATAGTGAGCTATATATTAGGAACCAAAAGTTGTGAGCCCGTGAATGGGAGGGAATTGGCATGACTCGAGCTGTCGCGGGGTGTCATTGGCCACCCCTTAATTAGTTTCATTTATTTTGGTGTTTGTTTGTTTTGGGATGGAATTGTAGTGCTGGTTTTTCTCTTTCTAGGTCTGGTTATGTGGCCCATATTTTGTTAAGTAGACATCTGCATAATATATACTTAGCAAACACTGTAATCACTCATTTCATCCATCAAAGTAATGATTCAAAAAACTCTCTAAACACTGTAATCACTCATTTCATCCATATTTTGTGAAGGTGCCAGCGGTGGAAAGCGGTGGCGGTGGTCGTGGCGATGGAGAAAGTTGGCTTCGGTGATATTGGTGGCAACGACGGTGTGGTGGCAGAGGTGGTGTTGGTGAAAGGTGACTACAGCAATAGTGACAACAGTGGAAAGTGACGTGAAAGTAATTTTTGAACTTAAAACATGACAATTTTTTTTTTTTTTTTTTAAATGTGCTTTTTTTAAAAAAAAAATTATTTTCTGAATGAAATGGTCCTTTCATAAATAGAAAAACTTGAATTATTTATTATAAAAATGACCTGTAATGTTAATCCCAACTTTAATTTTTCTTACCAAAGGATCCAGAATGATGGAATGTACATTAAATGAAAATATTTTTAAAATAAATATATTCTTCAAAATATTTTGATCAGGGGAGATATGGGCGTCTCGTATCGTTTACCGATGTAGTTGCTACTTGTGGCTACTACAACGACACTGGCGCTAAGTTCTGAACACGAATCTAGTACCCTGTGATGGCACTAAGCCAGAAATATGAACAACTTTTCTCTAAATTTCTAACTTAGCTCAGCCAACTCACACTTGCTGCCTAAAACACACAAGTATAGTTGCAAGAATATAAAAACAATAATACTCACGAATTTACAAAAGCATAAGGCTTCTAACCTTTTACTATTATTCACAAAATAGTACAAGGAAAGGCCTCAACCTGCAGAAGCATACAAGAGTCTCTCACAACACAACTCTGTGTCTCACTCTCAATCTGCCCTTTTCTACAGAACCCACATTAGCAATATATAGGCAAACTCTCAAAACCGCCCACAACTGCCAACTAAAGTGTTTGATGACACCCCCATCCACCTAGGGTCATGTTGGCATCCACTAAGTGTGTCAACACTACATATGTAGTTGACAAGCCCAACTACTAGCTTGTTGGCACGCTCTGCTCATGCCACTTGTCCACAAGAAGTTACACATTATCTGCCACCTTCTATATATCAGCATAATGGAAGAAAACCGACTTTAACCACCTGTGTGTTGTCCCCTCAGATCTGCACCACATGCATGGAAAGTTACTCAGCACACCCCCACTCCTCATAATATATGCATATAAGTGGGAAGTTGGGAAATTACTCAGCACACTAGTGGGAAGTATTAGTAACTTCCCCCAACCAACTGAGCCCACTTAGTGGGAAGTGTAACTTTCCCCAACCAACTGAGCCCGCTTAGTGGGAAGTGTTAGTAACTTCTCTCCAACCAACTGAGCCTGCTTAGTGGGAAGTGTTAGTAACTTCCCCGCAACCAACTAAGCCCGCTTAGTGGGAAGTGTAACTTCCCCCAACCACCTGAGCCCATTTAGCCATCTTCTGTAATCATAAGCCATGTCTGAGTCCCCTGAGCCAACCTTGCACGTTGAGCCTTGCCTACGCCCACTGCCTTATGCCCATGTCCCTGACTTGACTATGCCACACGTCCATGACTTGTGTGGTCCATGCTTTAAGCAACACCTGAGCCAACCTTGTGAACTTAGCTCGTGCCAAGCCCACTAATCTGCACCCACATATAAATGTCTCAAAGTGCACGACATCCAAATTGAGTGCCGTCTGCGCCAACCATTTTCTATGGACTCAAGGTACCTCCCATAAAGATCCCGAGCTAAAACTCCAAGCTTCACTTTTTCGCCATATTTACGAAAATGCCACTGGCACCCCCGGTGCAAGCTGACAGCATCCCATAGCTGTCAGGGGGCTTGTCAAGGTCCCAATCCCGTAACACAAGCCTTGTTCCACAAGAGCACTATGCTCTTTAGGTTCGCTGTTGATACAATGATGATTGTGACGAGCTTGTCTAAGTGATTATCAAATCAAAAATTATTATTATTTCAACTTTATTATTTAACCTGCTTTATTTACTTTATTGAAAAAAGAAATGTGTTCGCTTTTAGTCATAAAACTTTGTCAACAATATATTTTTGAATGCCACATTCATATTTGTTTGTGTATCTATGCCACATTCATATTTGTTTGTGTATCTATGTTAGGGGTGGCAAAATGAGTCAAAAACTATCAACTTGTTCATATTCATCCGCTTTTTAATGGTTATGGGTAAACCATATTTAGTTTGAGGGTCAAGATGGATTGGGTAATTTTTAACAACTTAATTTGAGGGTCAAAGTTAACCATATTCAACCCATATTTCACCCATCACATAATAAACACACAACACATTCTATATTGCACTCAACTCATTTCCCTCTCTAAAATTCTCTCACTCACAATCATCTCTCTTTATATTTGTCTCGTATCAATTCCCTCTCTCTAAGTTTTTCTCTCTAAAAATTTCAATGTAAATGTTGTCCTTCATTTGGTTCCATCCATAGGCCAGTCAAACTTAAAACTTGTTTGAAATTTTTTGAAAAGAAAGACCCTACTCTTATTTATTATTGACTAAAAATTCTTGTTATTTATGAATTCGCACGAAAAAAATAAAATAAATAATTGTAACAATTCTCAACTTGTTTTAATCTACTCAATTTCCTATTTATGTTTTCATGTGTGGAATGATGATAACGTCAAGATGACATTATTTTAATCCACATAAAACAGTCTATATACATTTGACTTTGGGGTACTGAATCATTTTTCATAATAATAATAATAAATAACTAGGAATAATAAAAATAACAAGAAGTAATCCTAGATAATTTAAGAGTGGAGTGTTTTAGGACTTGTAAATCGGTCAGTATTTTAGGGGTTATAAATTATCTTAATGTTATATTTGAAAACATAAAATTGGTAACATAGCATAAATATTTTTAAAGAGAAAATACTATAGCCCACTCTTATTTTAATTTACATCTATCTTCTATCTATGTTTTTTTTAAAATGTAATCCAAACCCTCGAGGGTTACTGATCCAAACACTGTATTACAAATGTATAGCTTTATAAAATTTCCATGAATTGCAATATAAAATTTGATAATACACAAATTTCAAATAAATTTTTTTAATATTTAATAAAATAAATAGACATTTATTTGATCTTTTGCTCACCCATGAGTAAATATTTTTTATTTTTAAGGCAAAAAACACACTCACAAACCCATTCTTTCTCCTAGGAAGCCTTTAATCTTTTACTTTAAAAAGTGAAGAAATACCACTAAGCTACACAACATTTGATCATGAACAAAAAATTTATCCATACCAAGTATAGACACTATACCATATGGTGACCAAATATTGTTATGTAATTTTTTTTTTTGGTAATTATCATTTTTACACTTAAATCATATCTATATGGTATAAAGAAATTTTCTTACTCACATGGTGAACAAGAGATCATTAATCATTTTATATTTTAAAAATTTTACAACGAAATATGTGTATTTTCAGAATTTCATAAATTTGTGAAATTCTTCTAATTTTTTTGTAAATTTGGAGAGAGAGGGTAACGTTTATCTTTTCATACAAGTTAAAAATAAGATAATTAGAGTCATTTGGGGCTTTGGTATCCTCTGCTTCCCCTGGTTCCCCTTGCTATTAGGTTTTTCGTTGCATGTCGGTTTTGTTGACATGGCTGTCTTAGGCTGGTTCATTATTTATATACAGGACAAATGCAGAAAATACTCTTAAAAGTATGTTTTCGCAATATTTTTATCCTTTATTTAAAATAATGTGCAAAAAATACCCTAATTTTTTCACATTGTGCAAAAATACCCCTCAATTAGAAATCTCACAAAAATTAGTGATGTAATATTCATTTTGCCCTTTTACTCATCCAAAAATACCCAAGAGGGTATATATGCTACTAACATCATAGTATATGAGTGTTATTTGCACATTACATTATATATTTTTTTTTTTTTGAAACTTTTTTCTCTATATATATCTCTAAACTTTTTTTTTTTAAAAAAAACTTTGAAAATTTGTAGAACAAATATTTCAATTTTTTGAGATTTCAATTACTGTTTTCGACTATTTTTTTTCTTCCTTTATTTTATTTTTTATTTTTTGTACCAACACTATTAAAAAAATAAAAAAATTCCCAATATCAGTGTGCACTGGTTTTCTGAGTTTGGAACAAAATTATTTTCTTTAGTTTGCACTATATTTTCATATTTATTTTCTATTTTCATCTTTACTTGTCCATTGCCGACATCCTCCAATATTGTCCTTTTCGATCATTTTACAAAATTATATATCTTATAAAATTGTTCAATAAGGGAAATTTAATTAACTTATGGTTTAAATTTGTCAGAAAGAATTATTTGCACCGAATTGAAACTTTATGGGTATATTTTGCACGGAGGAGCATCCTCCAATAGTGTTCTTTTTAGGCGTTTTACAAAATTATTTATTTTTATATATTTTATAAAATGATTCAGTAAGAGTAATTTAGTCAATTTAGGGTTTAAATTTCTCAGAGTAACGTATTTGCACCAAGTTGAAACTTTAAGGGTATTTTTTATACGTAAGGGGTGATATGCTCTATAAACAAATTTTAAGAGTGTTTTCTACACTTGACCCATACATATATATATATATACACATATATATATATGTGGCTTGTTTGCTTCTGCATTTAAGCATTATCTTTTATCTGTCCAGTCATGATGTGTTTAAGGATCAGCAGGCCTAGGGAAAGACTAACTAACGGATTCGTAATCCGGCGGTTGGATTGTTTCCGTTGTCTTTGGAGCCGACTCTGAGCCTTCACAATCCAACATTCTTATTCTAAATATATATATATATATATATATATATATGTTAAAGGGATTTGTGAATTTTTAGTTTTCAATGGGGGCAATTTTAGAATTATTCTGTATCAAAATTACTTATAAATAAAAGTTAGTATAGAGTCTAGAGACACTTGAACCCAATGTTGTTGCGTCAGTGTTCATCTTCCTAGTGACCCTTTCATACTTGAAATAGGTGGAGTGAGGCTCAACCATTTTGCCCATAATAATTCGTAGGTTATGGTACTTCTTCCACCTTAAAAAAAAATTAGTATCCGAGAACATATATTTTTTTATTTATTTCTCAAGCCCTGCTCATATTACCGAAGGAATTATAATTTCTTTGGTAATTGCCGTAACTGGTTCAACTAAAAATTAAAATATAATAAAATAAAAATGGAAATAAAGTATAGAAAATAGAGAAACCCAAAACAAAGATCGTCCACCGTCCTACTCCATTCAATCAAAGAACGGGAGAAGGGTGAGTGGCCAAGAAGAGATCGGTAGTTGTTGCAGGGATCGGTTTTCTGGGTCGGCTCGACATGGCCAGGAACGTTGCTTTCTTTGTTCAACTCCTGGGCCGACTCGTTCTGTCACTCTATTCCAGAGATTTTCAGAAAGGAAACCATCTCAGTTAAGGGTTTTGAGAAGATAAGTTCCGGTTTTGGTAATGATTCAAACTGTTTCTTTAAAATGTACCTATGCATAATATGCCCATACACTAAGAAATTTGCTAATTTTAACCTAAACACCTGGTTGTAGCTTGACCATGCATCTAATTGGGCTATACCAAAAATTATTCTTCTTTAATCCTATTCTTTTGTAAAGGTCAATTGTAAAAAAAAAATTAAAAAATTTATTATCATTATTGTTATAGATATGAACAAATAACGTACATGGGTATAATAAGCAAAGACATACCTTCGGATTACAACTTTAGGACAAAAGAACTAAAGGAAGGTCAAAACCTCTTGATGAAAAGAGAAACAGAGTAACAAATGAAGCACCAAACAGATCAAGTGCATCTTGAACTCTCAAAGGGGACAAATCCAGCACCTCCCACCAAATAACCTGAACAATCGATGAAAAAGACCTTGTAAGTCCTCCATAAATCCTATTATTTCTCTCAATCCAAACACATTATATGATATAGAGCTGTAGAAAATATTCATCTAGCAACTCTTATCTTTCAAGCCATTAGAGTGGAAAGTAGTACTAAACAACTCGTTTTTTGGGCAAGCAAACACAATTAGGTAGCTGCAAATCCAGGAGACATGAGAACCAGTTCCAAATACTCTTGACACAAGAGCAGGATACAAATAAGAGATCAATATCATCACCACCAGCCCTGCAGTTATGGCAGAATGGAAGCACGCATAAACCCCTCCTCTGCAAGTTAGAAAGAACACTTTGTTACAAAGAATTAGGCAAGTAGTAGTTGAAACCCTTGGCCTGCTACCATTCCAGCAAAGATCATGCCAAAAAACTTTATTATGATGCACCCTAAGTGCATTCCATGCACTTTTCAAAGAGAAAGAGCCAGAATTCCACGTCACAGCCATAGAAGGCCACAGCCAAACAGACAGAAGAAAGTTTCTCAATTGTTGAATTTGCACTGTAGAAGGAGGAACAGCCCGCATACCATTATGAAGAATGTCAGCAACCATTGCATTTTTTTTGGAAGGTTTAACTCCCAATAATGTCTTCGACCAAGCTTATTCAGCAAGGTGTCTTCAAAGCACCAAGGTTCGGTAAACTGCCTAATGGTCAGTAAACAGCCTGAATAAAAATTTATATGGTGAATAATTTAACTCTGTGGAGTCAAATTTTGATTTTGAAATTATTACTAGAGTATACATCTAGTGGATAGAATTCCAGAAACCTGCTCTCAGCGTCTTGCAATTTGCTGAAGAGGCAGACATCATGAGGAAAATGAGTAGACGTCTTAAGGCATTCTAAAATTCCAATTTTTAGCCTATGTTACTCACTAATTCTCCCAAAATTAAACCCAATCAACAACACACATGTAATCATCAAAATTCACACAAAAGCACCTAAAACTAAACAATCAGTCAACCAATTGATTAACTAAGATCATCAATCCTGGTAATTCCTAAACTCACCTAATTGATGCCAATTGTTATCCTAGACTTAAACTTTAATCAATAATGAGCACATAAGTACAAAGATTATAACATAATTATGTATAAGTACACTTAATTACACATTAATCAAAACAAGATATATTACTTTACAAACATTCACGTATTTGTAACTATCAACCACATATTTACACATAATACTACTTGATTTGTGTCACACATCATAGTCACACCTAATTCTCCTCTAAATGGAACCTAATATATTAGCTAGTCTAAGAGACAAGTGAATATAGCAAGCTCTACTCGTACTCTACTATCTACTTTGCATCTAGCAAAATTAAAACAGGTATACCTAGGATACCATAATCCTAAATCTAAACTACCTAATACGAGTATATAAATTCTTTTAATGGTACTTAGATGGTATTCGATCCAAAGAAGCAACTAAGTTTACCTATCATTCTAATTTTCAAACTTCTTTGCACAATTTCTCATTCGTTGATTTAAAAATAAGATCATTAACATATACATGATGTAATGTGATTAATTGATGTAATGTTTCACTTAGTTGTTAGACTCAGTGCACTGCAGACTCAAAATCCATCTGACACAATGTGTATATTGTTTACATGCAGGTATAAAAGCAGTACATTTTGTAGCAAAACACATCAGCTTTGTGAATTCTGCCGGAGTCGATACCAGACAGGCAGTTGCTATTAAAAGTGGAGGCTCCAATGATGCATACAACAGGTGTTCCTTTGAAGGATACCAGGACACTTCGTATATGGTTTTGGACAGAAATTTTTTCTATGAATGCAGCATATATGGTACCGTAGACTTCATATTTGGTGATGCAACCATCATGTTTCAGAACTGCAACATGTATGGCAGAAATCCCGGCAATAAAGGAAAGCCAATTGTTGTAACAACTGATTCGCGGGATAAAGCGATTGGACACAGTGGAATAGTAATTCAGAATTGTACCATTACAGCGGCACCAGAGTTCGGAGAATCGAATTCTTCCAGAGCATTTCTTGGACGCCCATGTAGAGAGTTTGCAAGAACGGTGGTGATGGAGTCTTTCCTAGGAGATATCGTAAAACCTGTCGGCTGGTCACCGTGGGGTTAACACCGTAACAGCTCCAGATTGGATTATTTGTCCTATATTGAATATAACAACAGGGGTCCGGGAGCTGCAGCCAGTGGCCGGGTAAAATGGCCAGCTTTTCAAATTATAACCAACTCTACCCAAATCCTACGATTTACTGCTAAAAACTTCATCAATGCAAGTGATTGGTTACATTCATTCCAGGACTTATTGGAGGTTAAAACTAATGTAATTAAAATTACATGAATAATGAATGATGTGGATAGAAAGGAAAAGTGAATTGTCCTACCAAGTTGGTAGGACAATTCACTTTTCCTTTCTATCCACATCATTTATTATTCAAATAATTTTAATTACATTAGTTTTAACCTCCAATAAGTCCCCCAATGAATGGTATACCAATTGAAGGTAACCAATGAAGTTTTTAGCAGTAAATCGTAGGATTTGGGTAGAGTTGGTTATAATTTGAAAACCTGGCCATTTTACCCGGCCACTGGTTGCAGCTCCCGAACCCCTGTTGTTATATTCAATATAGGACAAATGATCCAATCTGGAGTTGTTACCCCACGGTGACTAGCCTGCAGGTTTTACGATATCTCCTAGGAAAGACTCCATCACCACCGTTCTTGCATACTTCTCTACATGGGCGTCCAAGAAATGCTCTGGAAGAATTCGATTGTCCAAACTTTGGTGCCACTGTAATCGTACAATTCTGAATTACTATTCCACTGTGTCCCATCGCTTTATCTCGCGAATCAGCAGTTACAAAACTTGGCTTTCCTTTATTGCCGGGATTTCTTCCATACATGTTGCAGTTCTGAAACATGATTGTTGCGTCACCAAATATGAAGTCTACGGTTCCATATATGTTGCATTCATAGAAAAATTTTCTGACCAAAACCATATACAAAGTGTTCTGGTATCCATCGAAGGAACACCTGTAGTATGCATCATTGAAGCCTCCACTTCTAATAGAAACTGCCTGTCTGGTATTGACTCCGGCAGAATTCACAAAGCTGATGTGTTTTGCTACAAAATGTACTGATTTTATACCAGCATGTAAACAATATACACATTGTGTCAGATGGATTTTGATTCTACAGTGCACTGTGTCTAATAAGTAAGTGAAACATTACATCAATTAATCACATTTCTTTCAGATCAAATGCAATGTCACAATATTATGTAAGGTAGCTAAACATCTCTCTTGCCTTTGCTAAATGTTTCCCTACTCGACAATTTTGCACTATTTCACTCGGTATCAGCACCCAGATCAAGCTATTGTCATATTGAAAATCATACAGAACCTCCTACTAGCTTGGATGATTCTCTTACCCTAGTTACAACTGAAAATTTAAAGAAGTCCATTATATATAGTTATTAGAATTTCAAAGAGTAATCCAAAATCGCGTGAGACGTCTCTTCCTGTACTGGGCTTTGTATTTTGTTATATTGGACATGGTATTTTTTTTGCAGTGTGTAGCTGTAAGGTTTTGCTTTTGCCCTGGGCAACTATTTATTTTAATGCTTTTTGGATGAATACTAGCTGCAGAGAATGTGAACTTGTGATGTCATATGAAAAAACAGCTTAATCAAGCACCTCACCTTACGGATTCTATTTGTCAAACACAAACTATGGTTGGTCTACTTCTTTCTGAATAAATTGTAGCTTTAGTGGTAGCTCTTGTGACGGTCTTCTGGCAAAATTATGACATGGACCACGAATATAATTCTGATTATTCATATATTGTTTTCATCAGGGAATAGTTATCTAAATGAGATCAAATAAGAAGCAAAAAAAAAGAGAGAGATTATGAATAAAGAGTAGTAAACTAAAAGATGATGAACTTAACATTTGAAATACAACATTTACATTGAAATTTGTTTGTATATTTCTCTTATAGACAACTTGTTTACTTGGAAGACTGATGGTCACTAGTGTGTAACTTTTAATTACCCTCAGAAATATTTGGATCCTCCCTAAAAAAAATTAATCCAACCCTCATTTGGTAGTAACGAAACTAATAGCATATTCCTCTATTATGTCCTCACATTCTTTCTTTACCTACACTTTGCAATAGAAAATGAAGCATTGATGGCCATTTAACGGAGACGATTAAAGTTATATGTAACAACCTATGTCTTGAGCAATTTATTACAAGTACTGCTAGCCATTCAATGGAGAGGGTAGAAGCTACATGTACGGTCTTAAGCAATTTATTACACAAGCATTCTCACTTCAATATTACAGGATTCTGTTACATTTCTAGCGAAGTTCTCTACCTTCATTAAACTATGGCATTCAGTTCTTTACCTTCATTAAACTATAGCTTCTGAATGTGTTTTTATTTATTTTTTTGGGTCAAAAGCTAAACTACATGATCAAGTCCTATAATTTAAACCATTGCAATTTAACACGGCCTTTGAATGTGGTTATCAGGGTGATTAGCTTCTGTTGCTGTGATGACTTTAGGATACTTCAAAAAATTACGAATTATATCCTAAGCCAACCTCATGGTATATATGGGGTTTGGGTGTGTTAATTAATGGGTTTGTGTACCAATCACTTCCCATCCAGATATCACATATTTCACTCTGGATCAGTCCAACAAGTCTGCTAAAACCATGTTCATATGGTAGTTCATAGGCCATGAGTTGAAACTAGGAAATTAATATGTGCATGTAAAAAGATATTCAAGGAAAGCATTCAATTGATATTCAAAGAAACTTAAAATGATGATGTAAAAAGAGGGATGGGATGATTTGGTAACATACCGACAATGGCCGATTCGGATGTCCGGTAACCTGAGGAATTGCTTTTGCTGAATTTTATATTATGGTTTGGCCAATTCCATCTCCCAAGAACACAACACTTTTCTTCTCCCTACCCACATGTACTTCTTCATTGTAAATTCCTCGCTTGATGTAAATGGTGTATGTGATTGAACTCGAATTGGGTATTGCAGAAACAGCTCCTGAGATGGTGCTATAGTTTCCACTCCATCCTTTGACACCACAATTGTGGTGTAATCACTTGAAACAAAAATTGGAATGGCAAGAAACCAACAGAAATGAAGTAAACTCTCAGCCATTTTGAAGATTGATAAAGCTTGATGAAAGTATGCATCGTAAGTGTGTACAACTTGTATCAATCTTCAAAATGGCTCAGAGTTTACGTCGTTTCCTTTGGTTTCTTGCCATTCCAATTTTTGTTTCAAGTGATAACACCACAATTGTGGTGTCAAAGGATGGGAGTGGAAACTATAGCACCATCTCAGGAGCTGTTTCTGCAATACCCAATTCGAGTTCAATCACATACACCATTTACATCAAGCGAGGAATTTACAATGAAGAAGTACATGTGGGTAAGGAGAAGAAAAGTGTTGTGTTCTTGGGAGATGGAATTGGCCAAACCACAATATACAATTCAGCAAAAGCAATTCCTTAGGTTACCGGACATCCGAATCGGCCACTGTCGGTATGTTACCAAATCACCCCATCCCTCTTCTTACATTGTCATTTTAAGTTTCTTTGAATATCATAAGAATGCTTTCCTTGAACATCTTTTTTACATGCACATATTAATTTCCTAGTTTCAACTCACAGTCTATGAACTACCATATGCACATGGTTTTAGCGGACTTGTTGGACTGATCCAGAGTGAAATATGTGATACCTGGATGGGAATTAAGTGATTGGTACACAAACCCATTAATTAACACACAAACCCCAAATCATGAAGTTGGCTCAGGATATAATTCGTAATTCCTTTAAGTATCCTAAAGTCATCACAGCAGCAGAAGTTAATCACCCAGATAACCACATTCAAAGGCCGTGTTAAATTGCGATGGTATCTATTAAATTATAGGACTTGACCCAAAAAAATAAATAAAAACACATTCAGAAGCTATAGTTTAATGAAGGTAGAGAACTGAATGCTATAGTTTAATGAAGGTAGAGAACTTCGTTAGAAATGTAACAAAATCCTGTAATATTGAAGTGAGAATGCTTATGTAATAAATTGCTTAAGGAAATATGTTTGTTCGTAATATGGTATCTGGATGATTTATGTTACTCCCGTGTTCTGATTTTTAGCTTCTCTATTATTTAAGGAAATCATATATATTCTAGGAAAGCATCACAACCTCTCTCTCTATATATATAATCAACACTTAGTCACTTACATGGATATATATATAAACAAACACAATCTGGTTTGTGTTCAATTACGTATGTGTACATGATTTGGTGTGTGTTCGATTACATACGTGTACATGACAAGTCTACTTCTAATTTGCTTTTTAAATGTCTTTGTAAGGTGATTTTTTTCTGGTTTCACAAATAGGAAAAATCAATATTGGCTCTACTGAATTTTTGAAAGATAGATATATATATATACACAGCCTCTACTGAATTGAATCAGGTTGTCTTTGCCTTCTTTGAATTAGAATTGGTGAATTAAGTTTAAAGTTGGCACGAGTTGAATCAAATTGGGCTTATTTCAATGAATTGGGGCTAGAAAATCTGCACCGGCCACAATTCATAACCTGGGCAAGCCATCACTGGGTTAACAAAAGCCCTAGAATTCAGCTTTGCAAACTTGCACTCACAGTACTGATCTACATCATTTGGCAAGAAAGGAACAACAGGTTGTATAGGAACATACCTTCATCGCAACAAAAAGTTTTGAAGATTGTCACTAACTCCATCGCCGGCGTTCTCAGATCGTCGAGGAAGACCTATGCCAAGCTCGCATACGAGTGGACTCCTAACCCATCTCATGCCCGTCCCCCACCACAGCCTCCAGATTAAGATATTCCCACTGGTTATTACTCAAGCGCACCGGATTGCCCATATCCATTGCTAACGAGAATTACAGACCTTGATTAGTTGATTTAGAAAAAAATTTAAAACAAAACCCATACATACAAGTTAGCAGTTGCAGAGAGAAAGGGGGGCAAGAGAGTTGAGAGACAGCGGGCCAGCGGCTGAAGCTTGCGAACGGTGAACCCGAACTGGAGCAGCGAGCGATGGAAACTGAAAGATATGGGCAGGGCCAGCCCTGAGATTCCAAATATTTTGAGAGGCCCTAGGCGAACTTTCAAATGTGAGGCCATTGAGTTTCACACGCAAAAAAGAATTATAAGAGTGCGAAATTTTAACACGATATTTTCAAATTCCATAGCTAATATAATTGTGCCCATGTGCATTGTACATAAGACAACTAACTAATGACTATAAATTTATCACCACCAACAAATAATTGTGCGCCTGTACAATGTGCATGAGACAACTAACTAATAAGTATAAATCTATCACCACCAATAAATAATTGTGCATCTGTGCAGTGTGCTTAAGACAACTAACTAATAACTATAAATTTTTATCACCGCCAATAAATAATTGTGCGTGTGTGCAGGGTGCATAAGACAGCTAACTAATAACAATAAATTTATCAATTAAAGAGTGCGAAATTTTCACAGGCACAAAATAAAAAATGAAGAGAACAGTTTACTAGAGAACAGAAAACTGCAGCTTATTTTACATTCATTGTTTATATAACTACTAAAATTTGATGATTACAGATGACAAAAATATGTGGAGATGAGGTGACTATATATACATATATATATAGGAGGCTGAACTTGTAGTACTAAAGAAGTAGTGGGACTTTTAGGTTATATGTGGCATCCACTATCATATATAGTTTTGTCTTTCACTCTTTATATTAACTACACTACACTTTGTGTGTGTTTTTGTTGGGAGCCAATTACCCGCAGTGATTGATTGATCATTGCTTCAGAAGAGCTGTGCAAATTAATAGAAAAAACCATTAACTTTTGTTTTGTTAAAGCCTGCTCTTGATTTCCATGTGTTTGTGCATTCTGATGGCAAGTGATTTGACAGTATTATTAACTAAAATTCTAGCTGAGCCAACTTCAAATAACATCAATAATGGTGGTATGTATCTTCATATAAAATAAAAAATAATAAAATAATAATAAAACCCTTAATTTGGCACTTTTAAGTATGAGCATAATTTAGAGATTGAAAAAGTTAATTATTACCTCAACCCACTAGAAGGGATCCTTAATTTTCGTGGGATTGAATTTGAAAATGCAAAAAATTATGAGGAAAAGGGGTATGGTTGCTGCTGTTGTGAGAGTGGAGTGGACTTGGGGAGAGGGAAAAAAAAAAATTACCTGCCATAGATCATGGACTGGATCGCCATGAAAGACACGTGTAGAAAGGCTCACATTTATTAAAATACTAAGAGAACAATAATATATTCATTCAGCTTTTTATAGCCATCACACATACACAAAACCCTAGCTACTTTTCACAATTGCAACAAAGATAAAGGCCCGAATCAAACGAAACCAAAGTTAGAACAAATCAAATGATGAGATGAACGAAAGAAAGAAACATATATAAAAGATCGATTCATGCAAAAGGAGAGAGAGGATGAACATACCTTGTCACCTAAGGCGATAGGTGAGGCTGCGCCCTGCGGAGTGTCGAAGCAGGCTGACTTGCCCTAACTTTATTTTGAATTTATTTTTTTTCCATCCCCTATGGGCCCCAAGGCGGCCGGTCCTGCCTTTGAACCTACGTAACTGTTCTTCGCCGTACTGGAGCCACGCCGACCGCAATTACCACGGATCCACTCCTCCTCTGAAATCAATAAGCTTTTATCCCTCTCAATCAGAGATTCGGGCTTCACCACCAGGGATGGGGCAATCTCTTCCATCAGAGCAATCTTAAAGGCGACCCAATCATCTTCGACAATGACAAACTCCGGAATCTGACCACCATCAGCGACTACAACAACTTTGTTTGTGTCACACCACTCATAGGCCTCAACATCACGGAACCCTCCACAAAGATCACCAATAGCTTCAAACAATTTCCGACACCAAAGATGCAATGGTAACCCTAGAATGTGAATTCTCCTTTTCTTACACTTTTTCCACAGCCCTGAGCAACCCACCCTAAAGCACCAATGATTGATGTATAAAATTGCCTCCCCCCATCTTTTCTTCCCATCCTTCAACACTCTTTTAGCCTCGATCTCCGACAGCAGCCTGAACAGCATCAAGCCATCAGGTAAAGAGGTAACCCTCACACCGCAAGAAATCTTCAATAATCTCGACACACTCCATTCAATTTGAGTTTGACAAAAAAGCTTCTTCAAATTTAGCACTCCATTCAAATTGAACATCCTTGGCTAGGAGATTAGGCTTTGTAATAAGGCTAAAATTTTGAATGAATCTCCTATAAAAGCCGACATGGCCTAGGAATGATCGGATGTCTTTCACCGTTTTTGGAGTTGGTAATTTGGCAATGACATCAATTTTGGCTTTGTCAACCTGAATTCCTTAAGATGAGATGATGTGACCCAACACAATTCGACGGGTCACCATAAAATGGCACTTTTCCCAATTGAGGACCAAGTTCTTTTCCACGCACCTACACAAGACTTTCTCAAGATTTGCAAGACAAGTATTCACAACACACAACTATACAAAAAAAAATAATAATAATAACAATAATAGAAATTCTAATTCTAAATTTCTAACCTAGCTCCTTACTGATAATGTTGAAAACAATATATATCGTCAGCACCAATAGCAATTGACCAACCTAGCTGTAGACAAAAAAAACAAAGAAAAAATAAAATTAGGAATTATTATAAAATAAAATAAAATTTCTCCTTCAAAAAAACATATAGATTGATAATTAAAAACAATACAAAGTAATTGTTTCAATGTACAGTTTGACTTTTAGTACAGCAGCAAAAAAATTAAAAATAAATAACTCTTTGTGATAAATACATCTAACTTGACTGAAAACATTATTGTTGGAAGAAAATTAAATACATGTCATGATGAGAGTTTATCCAAAATAAAAGAACTCAAAGATGAAACCAACTCCCATGGAAAAGAAGACAAAGATGAAATGAAGATAAAGTTGTGGCTGAGAGTGACATGTGTTCAGGGACCGTCATCTTAAGAATATATATGGGATCACAGGCTGTGTAACAAATACAAAATGAATGACAGAAAAGCACTTCACACTCCTCCTATGATGCATGAGAGATATCAAACACATTTGAGAGGTTGGTAACAAATAAACCTATCATTTTTATTTCGTTTTTCTATATATCTTCTGTACTCAGCATTTATAGCTTTGAGGTTCCTACGAACCCCACTAAACTGCTTATGGAGTAGGGAAAAAACGGCTTATGGAGGAGCTATTAAGAATTTAAGACACATGACATGAACCATCAATCAAGGGTGTCTGAAACCAATGTATGTTACCTATATGTTTGTATATATAACTATGACAACAATTACTCAAATAGCTGCGTTTTGATATTACACACACAATTAAGACAAATATTTATTGATTCGAATAATCGGATAGATCAAATTACTATGAAAATAGGATTTCAATAACAAAAAAGAGTTTATATGGCATAAAATAGCAGTATGTAAATAGGATTTGTCCGGAGGAAATAAAATTCACATGTCTTGCACATAAAGCATGGAAATCGTCAAAGGGAATGGAAAAATAATAATAAAATATATAGCACTGTAACAATATAGAATAGAGTCATAGATAAACTAACTATATATATTGTTAAGATAATTAGATTATATTATATGCTACCATAATTACATTATATTATAGCTGTTGTAATAGTGATTTACTAGCCGTTTGATGTTAGCCTATTTATACCTACTTTGTATCATTGTCATGAATATCAATTCAATATATATCAATTCACATATCAGTTCTACATCTCTGTCTCTCTACCTCTGATAATCAACATGGTATCAGAGCCACCGCCGGAGATGTCGGCATAAGCCTTATGCGTCATCTCCAGCGGGCGGTCCAAAGTCCTCAATTAAACTAACCTCTGCTTCTGCTCATCAGTCGCCCCTACCAGAGTTCATCACTGCTAGACGCCACTCCATCATTTCATCCGAACCAATCACGGCAACCATCACCGTGTCCAGCTCCCTGCTCGCCCTCAGCCGAGCTCTCTGCCATCGTCACCCCCGTCCACTAGCTCAACCTCACCGGGTCATTCCAACTCCTAACTCGCCTCACCCACCTCTGCCTCTCAGCCACTGCTCTCTGCATCGACAACACCACCAGCGTCTTCCACCTCACCCTTGGCTGATACCCAACACACCAACCACCCTACTCACAGATCCAAGATCCTCCTCAACCTTCTCCGATCTCTGCCGTCATCACCACTTCCCCGCCATATTTTATATATATATATATATATATATATATATATATATCACCACCGAAGCTCAATCTGAACCACCGCTCGATCTGAACCTCTACCACCGGAGAAACACCAGCCATCCTCGGCGGCATATCTTCTCCATTACTGCCGAACTCATCACCGACCGGCTCCATCTGAGCCGCCGTAAACCAGCTCGTCCCCACCTCTGTAGTAGACGTCGTCCCGCTTTCTTGCCGTCATCGACATTGATCTGCAGTCGACGTCGTCTCGCTGTCCCGCCGTCCTTCGACGTCGAGACCTCGCATCGATCTGGTCCCGATATCGTCCTACCATCCTTCGTCGTCGACATAGGTCTCAAGTCCACATAGACTTTTTAAGATAACTCATCCCATCTCTTCACCACCATAGCCGTTATCACCGGTGTCGCCACGGATCTGCCGTCATCGGCCATCTCCGTGCTCATCTCGCTGAACTCACCGCTGCCGGACATCACAGCCCTGAACTCAGTTTCGGCGCCACCATCATCATACTCGCAGTAAGCCATCTCCTTCTTCGCCGGCGACGAACCAGTTGTCTCCACTGGATCCTCACAGCCCATGGCCGGATCTGTCCCGCGGTCGCATCTGTCTCGCCGGCCATCTTCATCCTCACGGCCCTCACCACGTTGTAAAGAGTGAGATTCTGCCCATGTGAATTATGAATATATATATATATATATATTTATAGAGAGAGAATGTAAATTGAAAAATAAGAAAGGAGGGAGAGAGAGAGGGCGTAAAGTGAAAAATGGAAAAGAAGAAATGTGAAGGTTGGGTCTTGACTTTGTTGGCCAGGGAGGTGAAGAAGAGAATGGAGATGGAGGTGGCGGCTGTTGGAGAGCCGGTGAGACAGATTCGGCGGAGATCCCTGTTGGAGATCCAGCCGGCGAGACAGACTTTGTTATCCCTGCTGGAGATCCAGCGGCGAGCCGGCGAGACAGATCCAAGCTCACCGCTGGATCTCCAACAGGGATGACAAAGTCTGTCTCGTCGGCTGGATCTCCAACAGGGATCTCCGCCGGATCTGTCTCGCCGACTCTCCAACAGCCGCCACCTCCATCTCCATCCCCTCCTTCACCTCCTTGGCCGACAAAGTCAAGACCCAACCCTCACATTTCTTCTTTTCCATTTTTCACTTTACCCCCCCCCCCCCCCCCCCACTCTCTCTCCTTTCTTATTTTTCAATTTACATTCTCTCTCTATAAATATATATATATATATATATATATTCAAAATTCACATGGGCAGAATCTCACTCTTTACAACGTGGTAAGGGCCAGTTTTAGAATCAGCTCCGTTTCTATCCCGGCTTTTGACCCACTTCAGATCAATATTCAACCCAGTTCAGTTCAGCTCCGGCCCAGATCAATATTGGGCCTTGTTCCAGTTCAGTTTTGGCCCAGATCAATATTCGGCCCAGTTCATTTCAAGTTTTGACCCAATTTCAAATTCAAGTTCTAGGTGCTCCTGATATCCCTCTAGAACTTGAAGAGGTGTATTCCGACCAGTTCCAGTTTCTGGAGTACAGCCCACCTAATTTCTCGGCATTAATCTGGCTCTCTCTGATGCGCTTCCAAGCGCCCTTGTAATCAACGCTTCCACAAGTGCCCCTGGTAATCGATGTTTCCGAGCGCCTCTCAAGTAGTAAATTTCACTCAATGATTCCACTCAATTATTAGCTTTCAAAAGCTCATGACTACCACATCTATCATAAAATGGTCTTTATGCGCTTGTGCGCATCTCAAGTGGTTATACCACTCTACCAAGCGGTAATCCCGCTCTGTCATACGCATCCGTGCGTCTCTCAAGTAGTAAATTTTATTAATTCTATAATGCCATTCTAATATTTGCTTTCAAGAGCTCTCTCAAGGCTATCACACTTTTCTTAAGTGGTCTATCATGTGTTTTTAAGCACCTCAACGTATCGGATCTTCACAACTCCAATACCGTCTTCTATTCCAGATTTTCTCTCCAAACTCAAGTTGGTTTATGAAGGGGGATGTTAATATAATTAGATTATATTATATGTTACCATAATTACATTATATTATAGCCGTTGTAATAGTGATTTACTAGCCGTTTGATGTTAACATATTTATACCTGCTTTGTATCATTATCATGAATATCAATTCAATATATATCATCAATTCATATATCAGTTCTACATCTCTATCTCTCTACCTCTGATAATCAACATATATTCTGACAAGGTAAGAGAGCTACCTCATGTATACTTCAAAATTAGTTAATGAACCACAATTGACAAATAGGACATGAACCTCCATAGGTTGTGCTCAATTTATATGAGTGTCAGAAACAGTTAAAGAGGGATTACAAGTATCGGAAGGGATTAGTCTTGTCTCAAAAGGGAGTTGGGACACCCTCAGTTATTAAAAAAAAAAAAACTAATTGCTTATAGACCGACTCAGTCTATATATATTTGTGTGCATAAATCATATTTATTATATATATGTATAGAGAGAGCAAACTGGTAAAAGACATGAGGATGTATCTGGTTAAGCAGTTTTAGTTACAGAATAATTCTTTTTATAAAAAATAAATAAATAAAGAGGAAGAGAGAGAGAGAGAGAAAGAGAAAATTCTGCAATGCAAAAGTGGGTACATGGTCATTGGTCATACAATGTCAAATAACTACTACCTCTTATTTTTGTTACTTCTTGTTAGAGATGATTACAAAACGAAGGACATACCCCACATTCAAATAACCCAAATGCTCAATAATTGAAGTTCCAGAAAGTCATATCCAATATTGAACTTATAAGCTCCTAATCAACCACAAGTTATATGGTAAACAAGCACATATATATCCAACTAACAAATCCTATATTTTATGGTAGTATTCAATTATGATATCATCCCAGCCTACATGCATGGACCCTCCCCTCCATACTTCACATGTAAAAGAAACAATTCCTTTTTCCCTCTGTTTCACACACCCGCATGCATTAATTTTTAACTGGATTGCTGATAATACATATACAAGAATAGCAATTTGTTGAGTAGAGAAGTCTTAAATAGAGCTACATATCTCTCAAATATTAACATTAGAATTATAACATAAATTTCTACTCTGGAAGCATGTTTACGTCCAAGGCATTGTGGCAAATGTTAGGTAATTGCTGTGTCTGCAGAAGATGTGTTTTGAGGATGGTAGGTGTTCTTTTCATTCTTTTTGCTAAAATAAATGGACACATGATTTCTTACTGTCACCACGATTATAACTTTCAATTCACAGTCTCACCTCACATGAGAAATTGCATGCAGGGCCATCACTGTTTCTATGTAAACAATTGTGTTAGTCATAGAAACTATAAGGCCTTTGTTGTCCTTGTCTTATACGCAATCATGGCTAATAAGTATAGATTTGAATAATGAAAAATAACTTACAAAGAGATTCCTTACTTGTTTTGCTTATTATTGGACTTCTGTTTTTAAGTTGCCTACTTCTTTCATCAATGTTTTGGAGAAGAAGATGAGGGATTTCCTTTGGGGTTCTAGTGATTCTAATAAGAAAATGCCTGCCCTTAACTGGAAGACAATTTGTTCACCTAAGGTTGAAAGTGGTATGGGGGTGAGAAAGTTATCTGATATCAATAATGCCTCTTTATGTAGATCGGCTTCGTACTACTTTTCACTCTAATGCACTACAAGAAATTTGGTGTTTTGCAACGAAACTTTTTGTCACTAAATACAGACAATTTGTTACAAAAAACTTTTTGCAACAAAAAAAATTTGTGGCGAGGTTGTCCCTATAAGCTCGTGACAAAAGGTTTTACGCAACAAAAACTTTTGTCCCAAAAAGTTTAATCTTTTGCAACAAAAAATTTACTTGTCACGAAAGATACAACGATTAGCAACAAATAATTTGTCTCCATTTCTCCAAAAAAATTTGTTGCTTAATATAACTCCATTCCAAGGACTTTTATTGGTAAAACACTTTTGTTGCTAAAAGGTTGATCTTTTGCAACAAGAAATTTACTTGTCCCTAAAGAGATGACAATTGGCAACAAACGATTTGTCCTTATTTATTCACAAATTTGTTGCTTAATACAACTCCATTCCAAGGAATTTTGTTGCTAAATATACAATAATTTGCAACAAAGCTAGATTGTTTCTAAAAATGTATCTATTTGCAACAAAGCTAGATTGTTTCTAAAAATATACCTATTTGCAACAAAACTAGATTGTTTCTAAAAAATATATCTATTTGCAACACAATTAAATTTGTCACTAAAAGATAGAACAATTGCAACAAAAATATATTTGTCACTTCATGTAGTGCAATTTACAACAAAACTACCTTTGTCACAAGTGTTAATATTTAATAACAAATATTTTTAATTGCCAATTTTTAAAAATTTGTGAATAAATGCATTAAAAATCATAATTTGATTTTTATTTTTTTTGTTCTCAATAATGTTTTTCTTCCTCTCAATAAACTAATTTATAAGACATCTTTTTTTCTCACTAATACCAAACATGTCAATTAAACAATTATCAATTACAAAATATACAATCTAATATCATACAAATGAAAAGGTAAAATACTATTTCATATATCCAATCATCCATACATATTCCAAATATGGGATCAAGACGAGATTCATATACATAGAGAATGATTAAACCTATATCCAACAATATAAGGAGATGGGAGATCCAAAAGTACAAAAGTGAATTTTTCCTGAGCCCATATGAAACAAAAAACATAATTAATGGGACTGTAACAAAAACTAATACCATCTACATGTAACAAAAACTAATACCATCTACATGTAACCTGCCAACAATGGGGAGATGGGAGATCCATAAATACAATCCCTTGTAAGAACCAAAAGTATAGAAGTGAGTTTCTTATGAGCCCAATGAAACAAAAAAAATATAGTCACTGGGTCTACAACAAAAAGATGTCAAAAAGCTAATAAGCCCAGCTACCTGCAATCTGCCAATAATGGGAAGATGGGAGATCCATAAATCCAATCCCATGTAAGAACCAAAAGTACAAAAGTGAGTTTATCCTGAGCCCATATGAAACAAAAAATATAGTTATTGGGCTTGCAACAAAAAGTCAAAAAGATAATCCCAGCCACATGCAATCTGTCAAAAAACATAGAAAAATTATGATTAGTTCAAACCACTATAACAAATTTAAGTTTCTACAAGGTCTTCTCATAATTTCAAGGCCTTTTTTACACACTAAGAATGCAAAAATACAAACCAAATAACAAACCACAAGATAACAAATAATTAGTAAAGCACAAAAAAATATCTTAAACAATTCACATTAATACAAAAGTCAACATGTTTGGAATGATTACAAACACATTAACATGTTTGGTCTTCAACTATTGATGGACTTGCAGTAGGTGTTTCTGGGTTCGGTTCTCTTCTTCCTCTTTTTACACTTAACTTTACTCTTTAATTTAGAAAATGGGTACCTATTTTGACTTCATCTTCTTCTCCATCACCATCAACACCATCTCTCTTTCTCTCTCACACACACAATCAATATAAATATACACACATGTTAATGGTGTAATGATGAAGATTGTGATATTTCTTTAATTTTATGTGAGCACACATGGTTCTTTAATTGGCTAGCTGAAAATTAGCTCTATGCATGTGCTCCATTGCAAATTGAGGAATATTTCTATATTTTTGGGAGGAGATTAATGAATGTAAGGTTGAACTATGTACCTAGCATGACAGAACCCACTAAGGAGCTAGTCCACTACACCTACTACAGAAATTGGTCCAATGCCTCACTAATTTCTTTGTAATTACTACTATTGACTTAACAAAATTTAAAAATCTAATTTATTTGTAATTACTACTAATGACTTGACACAATTCAAAAATACAGTTCACTGTAAACTATTCAAGTCTTTCTAAAGGCAAAGTGAGCATGGAAGTGAATTAAATTTTTTACTTTTTTAAAACAAGGACTACTAACCTAAGAAAGAGCATCAAAGTTTATGAACCAACTATTTAGTAATACATCAAGACAATAATAATAAATAAATAAATAAAATGATCAGTTGTATTAAAGAACCAATCGCAAAGCAATGCATTTTGCTATAGTTCAGTTCATTGTATTACATTGAAATGGCAGCACAAGCAAAGTCTCATGCATGCTCTTTCCATAACTAACTCAAATAAACCTGACTAGTCCATAATACTCTTAAAAGACTGATGTTAAACAAATCAGACTTCTCATGCAACCCCCATCATTATTCTATTAGAAATTTCTTTCCTTTTCTTTCAAGTTTTGCTCTCTTTTTCAATTCTTTTAGAGCTGTCAACATTGGCACTGGGGATTTTTGTGAAATTCAACCAAAAATTGTAAAAGCAATAATATACAACAAACAATTCAAAGTAGCTGTTCTCAATTTTGAATCTGTACACCTACATTTGTCACCTAGAACTTTTGCCATTGCACCAAGTAATGGCCCCTCTATGTAGACTATATCTTCTTTCAAATTGCAAAACAGATTTGTCTTATTCATATTTTTGTTAGTGGTTCTCTTTGGCCCTTCTCTACTTGGTGCTATAGCTTTTTCTAAATTCATTTCTCATTCAGCTATGTCATTTTTTTCCCCCCAGTGGTCTAAATCAAATTATCAGTTCAAAAGTATGCTGTAATTTGTGGACAAGTTTCTTGATGGCCAACATTATCGGGCTTAGGAGACTTTACGAAAGAGATACTGTCATGCCTCAATTTTCACTAGAATCTAATATTTTATTTTAAGTGAACCTAACAAAAATTATCTGCAGATCCTACTTTACTTAGAATTTCTGATTGCACTTTGAGTGAACCTTCTCTAAATCATGTGTCTAAGGCAATCTGGAAGGTTAAATATTTGGCCTTAAGAGATCTCATGTGCAGCAACTCTTTAAAAATATGGGTCTCCAATCTTTCTGGAAGGTTATGACATGTCCAATTATAATAATGAAAATGTCTTAAAACTTCCTAGTTGTAACTCATTTATTATTCTTATGGCTATAACATTTAGGTTGTTGACAAGGTGAATGGCTATCTTTTCCCAAGGGAGAATATCAAGGCTCTAATAGATCTTGTATTGTAAGTGATATCAAAGGGAAGATTATCACCTCTAGCACGCAATGTTGCATTGCTTGGAAAATATTCTTCTAAAAAAATTAATGGTTCAAGAAACTGTCGAAGTTTATGCTTCGCTATTAGAAAATGTTCTCAAGTTCCATATAAAGTTGCAACTCCCGAGGATGTTAGCGAAACTTATGAAACATAATTTGTATATATGTTTGGTAATAATTAGACAGAATTATGATGCATTGACTAATCGTGACTAGTAAAGGGATTCCCTGAAAATAACAAGTAGAAATGCTCCAAGCAAAAGATGAGGGGAACCCAGTAAATAATCACGATAAGGTTTTCCAAGTATTTGGAATCAAATATTTAAAGGTATCCCATTTCGTGACACTTGGTATCATTGTACTCCTTACTAAACTTGCTAAATTCATAATCCAGATTCTAGAATCTAGATTTGTAAAAAATGATATTGCAAACCAAAATAATTATGAAAACCTTAAAACTGCTTTTTGACCTTGCTGCATTTTGTAATTTTTTAATTTAGTATCCATTGTAGAATTTCTAATGTAATGGATAATCTTCGGCATTTCCAATCAAATCTCAAGCATAATCAATCAGACTAAAAATAAAACAAGAATAGAGCTAAGCAGGCTAACACTAAAAGAAAACAACCACCCAAGCATAACCAATCACCACCCAAAGAATCACATGCCTAATTTTCTCAAGACAGCTGCCACTAAACAAAAATATTCTCCTTCCAACATCATAAAAAAATTACATTCTAGCAAGTATTAATTCCCTCTATGTAGTAGAGAATTAATTGAACTTACTAAGTAGGACGATGAGGCTCCCTGGACAATGAGCCTCCCAAAGCTTGCTGCAGCAGTAAATTAAATGTAAGTTTCAAGGGTTAGGATACTGACCAAACTATTGTGTTTATATATATTTATATTTGAGGTAAGTCTATTGTAAATAAAAAATTTCTTCCTAGGAGCCTCTTTTATTGTATGGGAAAACTTTCATTACGAGTGGGTGAACATAAACACCGTCAAGGTGAAGTCAGAATTGGATAAAAAAAAAAAAATTCAAACTAAAAGTCTTGAACCAAAGACCATCCAATTCAATGATTTTTCTTCTTGAGAAAATTAATTCTGTGCCAGCTCAAGAGGCAATAAACAAGCTTGAATTATTAAACTCACAATTCTGATTCTGAATTGCTTCCAAATTACCCAATTAAGTAAAGAACCTACTTATAGATATTGAAACAGCCAATCTAGTTATTTGGGCTTTTAGATATTCCTCTTACAATTCATCAGTATTACATCCAAACAATTTCCCTTATTTTTACTGAATTACAAGATGTAATTCTTTTCTGGTACCCATGAAAAAGTAAAGAACAAGTAGAGATTGTTTCTGGCACCATGATATTTTGATCAAACATTAAAAGGAAAATACTAATTTATAAGAGTAAAAACCTTCTATTTAATTAGTAATGGTGCATCAATGGGTTAATTTTTTTATTTGAAGATTTTAAAATTACAAATTAAGGTGTAACAACTAGATAGCTAAATATTGACATATCATCTTAAAAAGAGAGATGGGGTTAAGGAAATCAACCACAAAAAATAAAAAAAATAATTAAAAAAAGTTCAGATAAATTGGATAAGACCTATAAAACCCCAAAGGCCACTTTGTACTCATTGATGACCTCACGACCCATCTACAAGCCAAGAACCCAATCACCACATCCCTTTTGGTTTTACCATTTCCTTGTCATTTTCTCATACCCATGTTGCTTAGCTTAGGTGTTAACAGTACTAACCTAACTTATAAAACTTAGTTTTTTTATTTTTCTTTTCAAGAGAGGAAGTAGAAACTTTAATTTCACTTAATTTTGCATCGCAATTTTCATTTGGACTCAATTAAGTGGCAAGACAGATCAAGCTTACTTCCCTTTTTAATTTTTAGATACAATATTTTTAAAGAATGTGGCCCTTTCCAACGGGATTTGGTGCTATAGATTTTTCTAAATTCATTCATTACTCGTTCAGCCATGTCATTTTTTTCCCCCCAGTGGTCTAAATCAAATTATCAGTTCAAAAGTATGCTCTAATTTATAGACAAGTTTCTTGATGGCCAACATTATCGGGCTTAGGAGACTTTACGAAAGAGATACTGTCATGCCTCAATTTTCACTAGAATCTAATATTTTATTTTAAGTGAACCTTCTTCCAGTCATCTATTTTGGAGACATAACAAAAATTATCTGCAGATCCTACTTTACTTAGAATTTCTGATTGCACTTTAAGTGAACCTTCTCTAAATCATGTGTCTAAGGCTTTCTGGAAGGTTAAATATTTGGCCTTAAAAGATCTCATGTGCAGCAACTCTTTAAAAATATGGGTCTCCAATCTTTCTGGAAGGTTATGACATGTCCAATTATAATAATGAAAATGTCTTAAAACTTCCTGTTGTAACTCATTTATTATTCTTATGGCTATAACATTTAGGTTGTTGACAAGGTGAATAGCTATCTTTTCCCAAGGAAGAATATCAGGTATGTAACAGTTCTTGTATTGCAAGTGGTATCAAAGGGAAGATTATCACCTCTAACTCACAATGTTCATTGCTTGGAAAATATTCTTCTAAAAACTTAATGGTTCAAGAAACTGTCGAAGTTTATGCTTCGCTATTAGAAAATGTTCTCAAGTTCCCATCTGAAGTTGCAACTCCCAAGGATGTTAGCGAAACTTATGAAAGATAATTTGTATATATATATATATTTATTTATTTATATTTATTGACAGTGAACCCTAATTTCATAAGAAAAATGATAAGGAAACGTAAATTAATTATACTTACCAAATATAAATAAAATGAATTGTGGTTTACATTCAATTATTCAAATCACTTACCCAAAAACAAAGAGGTAGGTAAAGTCGGACTCTAATTCGAAAACAATGCATGAGCGGTCAATAGGCTCAAGGATTTCCATGTGCATAACTAGGACTATATATATAACAAGATCACAAACACCACACATTACAGTTAATGGACACAAAAGAACATCAATGCTTGTAGTTTAGTATTTAATATTTATGCACAAGAAATAAGTATAATGAGCTAAAATTTAGGAAAGTACTTTAGATACAATCATGCTACATATTATTTAATTAGAATTCTCTTTAATTGAATGCTTGAAGGAAGAGGTGATTTTGCTACCTAATTAATGGAAAAGCATTTCAATTCTATGGCAATCAACTATAGAAAAGTACCTTATTGTTAACTAATTAATTTCAACAGTATATTTCATTCAAGTATTTTGAAAAAGATAAAACTAAAATTAGAACTTAGAGAGATACAATGATTGGGTTGCTAAGTGTTGTTTATTCCGGGATCTGATTCAAGATAAGGGCAGCATGTGGGTTCCTTGCCTGAATAGAGCCTACCAGACTAACACTAAAACAAAAAAAACAACCATCCAAGCATAATCAATCACCACCAAAGAATCACATGCACAATTTTCCCAATACCTCGACCAGTAAACAAAACTATTATCCTTCTAATAACAAAAAAAAAAATGCACTCTAGCATATATCAAATTCAGTGTTTGCAGTAAAGTATTTAATTTCACTTACTAAGCAAGACGATGAGCCTCCCCAGTTGATGAGCCCCCTAGAGCTTGTTGCACCAATGCTGTTAAAGATGTGAGTTGAGCCTGCAAAGAGCTTATTTGGTCCCCCATTCTCTCTTCTGTTACCTTGGACAAGTTGATTTGATCCCCCAATCGCTATTCTAATGCCTCAGCCCTTTGATTTGCCTCTTCAGCCCGTGTGTTGCCTCTTCAGCCCTTTGATTTGCCTCATCAGCCCTTCGATTTGCTTCATCAGCACTACGCCTAGCCTCAACAACATCTTCACGACTTCCCCGTAAAGAGATAATGGACATCTCCCCATGACCAAGCCCACGAACATACGACGAGGTTGAACCAACTATTTGAATGTAAATCTCGTTACGGGTCAACTGTGTAGAGGAATTGGATACACCATCCGAATTTTCTTGTTGATTGACCTCTTGAATCATTCTATCCTGCATATCCATACAAATTGGTATGTAAATGATTAATAAATACAAAAAAATAAACTAAAATTTACTAGATATGCATATACATACATAGAGACCCTGACAATGTTGGGTGACCCATGTCCCATCCTCCCTACAGTGTGTTCGGTGATAAAATGTCACCATGTTTGGTTCCTCTTCTGTCTCCATGTTTCGCTATTTCAATTAAGATAATTATAACCAAATATTATTAATTTAACATTTGTAAATTTATATAATTACAAAAAATAATAGAACATAGGAAATAACCATTTCATAGCGAAGTGTGACAAAGGGTTTTGAGCCACCACGGTGATTTGTTAGATTCTTTGCCTTGTTTACTTTATTGACAGCGCTCCTATTCTACATTTCAGTTTAATGAATTGTCATTACCTACCTAAGCCTACAATTATAAATTTTCCATATGAATAGAAAAAGAATGGTGTACCTGGCATGTCGGGGTCATGAAATTTTCACATATAGCTTGCCAATCCCCAGGACGAACATTTCTATAAGGCTTTCTCCTAGCCCTCTCTACATCATCTCCGAAAGATTTAAAATGCATGTGCATGGGATTTTTATGTGATCGAAATCAAGCTGCAAGCCATTTGTCAAGTCCACTTCGAATGCGAGAATTATCAAGATCAATCACGAAATTTTCCTGAAATAAAGTAGATATATTAAAAATACTTGCTTAAATGACTTAGGGTATATAAAAGAATTCAAAAACGAGACATGTTTCATAATATCATCTGAATAACACAATGCTATTAAAGGTGCTAGGTGCACTGAGGCGCTATAATTCCCTTGGAGCCTAAGCGAGAGGCGTACGCCTGAGTGATGTGAAACGCACAAGTAAAAATTTAAAACAATAATTCCCAACAAAAAGTAGCAAACTGCATGTAGCAGGACCTAAAAAATTCAACAAGCAACATTCAGCAAACAGCATGCAGCAAGATGCATTCAACATTTCAAATAACCTAGCAAAATCCAGCAAACAATATTCAACAAAACATAGCAAACTGCATTCAAAAGAAAAATAAAATAAAATAAAATAAAAACAAAAAAGCAGGATTGGTAAGTTCATTCAAGAAAATGCATTCAAAATAATTCAGCAAAATACATTCTAATTACTTTCGTTTTCTATTGTCTTCAAACAAGAGATAACTCTAAAATGGTATATTAAGTATTGCTTTTAGCCTCCTAACTATGACAAATTATTAAAAGGGGGAAAAGGGTATTACTTGAATATGATGATAAAGCGTGGCCTTATCGGCCAATTCCATGTGCGACCAAGTCCCACAAGTCATACGAGCATGCTCTCGACATATAACACCCACCATTGACCCGAAAACTTTAGACCAACCACCAATGGGCCGATACTTTCCCTCTGGGAAAGTAATATGTGGTTTAGGACCACCTTTAGCCCTATATACGATTAATTTTACGCCCCGACTAATACCACGCCCGTTTTTAGATGTGCTAGAAGCTGCAAAATCAATAATATCAAATGAGAAAACCTGGGCATAAAAAATTTAAATTTCCCCACAAAATCAACAATATCAAATATCTTTATTATACCAATGTAGATTGCCATACTTTTTTTCAAATTTGTGAATATAGCATAACTTGTAAAATAATGTAATGAGAAAATCTTACATGCACTCGATGACTGATTGGTAGTAGATGTGGGAGTTTGTGTGGGAGTAGGCTCTGACTCGGGTGTGGCAGTAGGTGTGGTCATATGCTCAGCCTCAGGTGTGGGTGTAGATGTGGAAGTAAGTATAGTTGTAGGCGCTCTCCGACGACCGGGTCCAGCCATATTAACCTGTCATAAGTTAGTATTTCATTATACAAACAAGTATGGAATAAATATTTATTACAAGTCTTCAACATACCATAATAAGTATACTTCCAAAAATATACATCATATGTAACAAAACAAAAGTGAGCTATAAAAATGAGGAGGGAGAAAGAGAGAGAGGAAGAAGAATAAGAAGAAAATTATAGCATACAAAATATGTAGGAAACAAGTTACAAAAATAACACCACCACTTTCTTGTTGACATAGTATGAAGCATAATTATATTACATACATTTCAAGAATGGAAAAACAAAAGGATGCAATTACATAACTTAGTCCATATCACTTTCATTATCGGTAGGTATCAATTATTCATCTTCCTCATCATTTTCAGAAGATTGCAATTCATCATCTTCCTCATCATCACAATAGTCAATCAATGTATCATCTTCATCGCTACTCTCATCATCGGCAATGAAATCATCATTTATTTGATCAAAAGTTGCATTGTTTGGCGAAATATTAGGTAGGTCAACATAAACTAGCTGGACATCTTCCCTATGCAACGTGTCCAAATCTAGATCATCATATTGGACAGTTGTGTCAATGTCTCCTGCATCTTCAACTTCATATGAATCATCATCTACATCTGTATCTTCATCGACCGATGACATCTCTTCAACTTCATACAAATTCCTAGGTGCCACCTTTTGCACAACATGCCAATTATTGCCGAACTTAGGGTCTTTCATATAAAACACTTACTCAGCTTGGCATGCTAATGCATAAGGATCATCCTTATACCACAAGCATGAATGATTTACACTTGTGATATTACCATCCGAATGTATCCCCATTCTTTGGTTGCCAACATTAAACCAATCGCACTTAAAGAGGTGTACTTTGTTTTCTCCCAAATAATTTAACACCATAACATCTACAAGAACATCGTAGAAATCAATTTCTTTGGAATCATGTTCTCCTTTCACAACCACCCCACTATTTTGTGTCCTACGATGCTTGTCGCAGTCAATTGTGCGAAACCTAATACCATTGACAATACATCCTGAATATCGGATAACTAATGATTTAGGACCACACGCTAAGAAATATAATTGGTCAGTAGCTTCTGGAGCCTTTTGCTCATGCAATCGTTTCATCTGTTGATAAAATTATAATGAAATTAGTAAAAATAATTATTATATAACTCTTTTTAACAATATTCAAGCACTTAAACGGTGCTCAAACCATCGAGGAAATTGTTGTTCATGTATCTGGTCCACATTGGTAAAACCTTCGCTCTCTAGATACTGTTTGTGCTCACTTCCCGTAAAGTACATAAAATTAGAGCTTAAGGATAAAAAGACTACAACAACAATACACATGAATCAAAAATTTTGTTTCATTATTTACTTACTTCACATAAGGCAACACTTCATCGCAATTATTTAAGATATACATTTGAACCTTATCAAGATCAGTCAACGGCATCGGATAATAGGTTGGTGCTCCCAACATACGTACATCTTGTGTGAAAACATAAAGACCCTCTCGCCTATTCCCTTGACCACCATCGTCATTTCGTTCATCTCTATTGAATCTCGTCTCAATGCCTTCGAGATACATAGAGCAAAATATTAGGCATTCTTTATCAATATATGCCTCAGCAATCGATCCCTCTGGTCTAGCAGTATTCCTAACGGTCTTCTTTAAAGTGAATAGGAACCTACAAAAATTTAATAATTTTTTTTTATTTGTTAAGACACGCATGTTCGACACAATGATTGCAACAATGAATGTAAAATTACAAGTGACACAGCATCACCTTTCTATTGGATACATCCACCGAAACGGCACTGGTCCACCAAGGATCGCCTCACGAGGAAGGTGAATTGTTAAATTAACCATTACGTCAAAGAAGGCGGGAGGAAATATTCTTTCCAACTTGCATAGTATAATGACAATGTCTTTTTCCATTTGTTCTAAATCGTCAACTAGCAATGCCCTTGAACATAATTTCTTGAAAAATAAACTAAGCTCAGTTAATGCGATGCATACATCCTTGCAAAGGTGCTTACGTATTGCTACAGGAAGAAGTCGTTGTAAAAGAACATGACAATCATGGCTTTTCATTCCCGATAGCTTGCGATCTCTAACATTCACACAACGAGATATATTTGACGCATACCCATCTAGGAACTTAATAGATTTCAACCATTCATAAAATTCCTTTTTGTCAGTTGATGATAGCTGGTAGCATGCACGTGGCATCATAAATTTGTCTCCATCTGAAATTAGATGTAATTCCTTCTTGATACCCGTTTCTTTCAAATCCATGCGAGCCTTGATGGTGTCTTTTGTTTTCCCATCTATATCCAATAATGTTCCAATCACACTCTCACATATATTTTTCTCAATGTGCATGACATCTAGATTGTGTCGTAATTTAAGAGTTCGCCAATAAGGCAATTCAAAGAAAATGCTCTTCTTCGTCCAGTTTAGTTCATAATCCTTACATTTTCTCTTTAAGCTATTTGGTCCTTTACCAAATGTCACAACATTTACTTTATTTAGTTGTTCCAATAAATCATCGCCAGAAAGTTCTTTAGGCTTCTGTCTATGATCTTGATTTCCATCGAATGCTTGTTTATTTTTTCGCCAACTATGATCCCTCGGAAGGAAGCGACGATGGCACATGTAACAGATCTTCTTTCCATTCTTTAGTGAAAAAAAACTTGTCTCCTTATTACAAACTGGACATGCCAATTTACCTTTCGTCATCCACCCAGACAAGACAGCAAATGCGGGGAAGTCATTTATCGTCCATAAAACTGTTGCATGTATACGAAAAAACTATTTTGTAGAAGCATCAAATGTATCTATACCTTCTTCCCACAACTCCTTTAGATCATCAATAAGAGGCTGCAAATACACATCTATCTCATTTCCAAGTGATTTTGGCCCTGGGATGAGCAACGACATAATAAAATAAGGATCTTTCATGCACTTGTAAGGTGGTAAATTGTACACCATCAAAACTACAGGCCACATGCTATAGGAATTGGACATATTTCCAAATGGATTGAACCCATCGGTTTCTAATGCAAGACGAACATTTCGAGGATCCTTGCCAAACCAATCATGTTGCTTATCAAAACCCTTTCAGGCTTCATAATCTGCCGGATGCCTCAATATACCATCATCGATACGCTTCACTTTGTGCCATACCATATCTGTAGCCGTCTTTCTACACATAAACAACATTTGCAGCCTCGGTTTGAGTGGAAAGTACCGTAACACCTTTCGAGGAATCTTATATCTGGATTCTTCACAAACAGAACAATATTTATCTTTTTCGTAATCCTTCCAGAATAACATACAATCATTTTCACATGCATGTATTGACTGGTATCCAAGGCCTAACTCCCGCATTATTTTTCTAGCCTCATAATGTGATTTTGGTAATGGCTCATTATCTTCACGTGCTTTATTAAACAATTGAAGCACCATATCAAAAGATTTATTCGTCCAACCATTTAATACCTTCACATGAAAAAACTGAATCAAGAAAGACAACTTCGAAAAATTCTTACATCCTGGATAAAGTTCACGCTCCATATCACTCAATAATGTTGCAAATTTATTCGAAGATGTTGGACCTTCTGCAACGTTTGAGCTATTTTCAGTAAATGCTTCCCCCTTACTATCACGCATAGATGTTCCCGTGTGTATGTCTTCCAAGATATGTTGCATAAAATCAGGTTCCTCCACTTCATTATATGTTGTATAATCATCATTGTCACTCATGTCCACCTCATCATCCCACATATTCTCACCATGATGTATCCATTTTGTGTAGGTTTTGTTAAAGCCATGAACAAATAGGTGCTCTCCCACATCATCTAAAGATTGAAACAAGACATTACAACAATTATGACATGGACAACGAATCTTCCCCTCTGAATCCGCATGATTCTGTGCAAAGTTCATAAAGCTTCCTACCTCTTCTTTGTACTCAGTGGAACACCTATTTTCATTTTGAATCCAACTCCGATCCATAGATTTTTTCCTAAAGTATGTTTGTTCAAGTCAGTAAAAATATATATAACAGCGTTAATCATGTCAAGAGAACCAATGGATCAACTCCTTGGGCATCTTTGGAACTCCAACATTTAATTAAGGGGATAAGTATAATTCTTTGTCCCTTTTTTAAATAAATAGATAAATTTCCCGCACTATACCCACTAATACACGATTTTACCAATGAAGTCTTCCACCCATTTATATCGTTTCCTCTCCCTATTGTGTAATGTAAACCCTAAGTTTCAGTGATTCATCCCTAATCTATCTGCACGGTCACATAACTCTACTAAGAAAAATAGAGGACTTGCACGAACTATGACACAGACTAGTGATGAGTAAAAGAGGTCTTCGGACTCGTTGTGAGTTCTATTTTGATTTTCTACTTCCTTTTAAATTATGCTGTTGTGAGTTAAATTATGAGACTATGAATTTGAGGGTGAAATTTAGGTTAAAAACTCAATCCCTCTCTCTTTCCTCCCCCTCCCTCTCTCTTTCTAGATTTACATACACTTCAATTTCTCTAACAACTACATGTTTTGTTTTGTTGTTTGCCTCTATACTAACCGATCCGTACTTCGCAAATCAGCATATGGTTTCGATTGATCGATGATGATGAATTTATTAGTGCAGTTTCGGTCTATAAAGCACTTCTGTGATCATCTCATTATAACATCCCATTTGCCCTAATTTCAATTTCAATTTTTGATTTTCAATTGTATCCAAACATCTTATTTTTTGATATTTCCATTGAAATGGTTTCTCTCTTTTGTTTTGGATCATGTGTGTGATTATGAAATTATGTGTTGATTTGTAAGGTTACTGTTAGATTTGGACAAAAATAAAATGAAATGTTCTATCTATTCACTTTAAGAGTGCCTAGAAAGAATTTTCTTCTTAGTGCAATATTTTTCATACAAACAGTAAAAGAATCCTTAAATAGATTTTAGTTATCTAAGGATAGATTTATATCAGTATATGAAGTTGATTTCAGTAAAAATGTATACATCGGTCATTTTTCATACTCTAGTATCTGAAGCCATGAACTTTGTTATATACACAAGCACGGAATGCAATATGTTTTATTGTTCAATGATTGTGAGAATATGAATCTGATGTGAGATTGAGGCATGATTAAGGCTACAATCAAGTTTTATTATTGTCCAGTGAGTTTGATTATATTGAATCCATCCATTTTTTTTTTGTTCTACTAAGTTATATATATTTATGCTCATTGATTTACCATACCGATGATATCCGTGAATTTATTTCTAATGAAATTAAAAGTTTTATTTACTGATATGTGTGTGTAAACAATTAAACATCAACAACAAAGCTTCCGGCCAAGCAAGCAACATCCAATTACTTTCCTTTTTCCTTGAAATAGCAAACTAGGTTATGATTTTTAATCAATTCAGATTGGTCATGCAAACCAGCTTATGGGTTGTTGAATTCAAGTAATTTGCTACATATAATTAATTTCATAGATCTTTTTCTTTTTTTCAAATTATTTTGTGTGTTTGATTTTTCACTAGAATTTCTCAATATCTTCTTGAATTTAGTTGATTTCAATATCAAAATCAATGATATATTTTGGTTTTGAATTCTGATTCTGGAAAATGTTTGAACACAAATTATACTCAACCTAACTCCCACATTCCACAATTTCACAAGTTGAGATGCATGTAATCATCAACTAACCCATTCTCATATAATTTAATTAATTCAATTATATAATATAAGCACCTATATGCATATAAATGCTTAGATAAGTACAGGAATGTACCAATCAAATAGAACTCTAATTTACTAAGGATGATGTCATTGTCCAAATCACAATTCCCTTGCGACTGATCCACACACTAGGTACAATTATGCTCATGTATGTGTGAGTTAAATCTAACCATATGCAATAAGGAAGTAATTTGAACAAGTATAACTATGTGTGTGTGTGTGTGTGTGTGTGTATCCATTATCACTCACACCTCAGTTCTATATCTGTCATGATACCAAATATAGCTATAACAATTAATAACAAGATATTAGCAAGTATAACCGTATTAGCATATTCACCTATAATTTCATGGTTACGCTATGCACTGTTATCACAAATAATTTATTAATATCTATATTTGGTAATAGATGTAATTAGCCTATAATATATTAAACAATGAAAATTAAAATATAGTAGAGATCTACTTGCCTGTTACTTCTTCACAGGTTGTATCTCTTCCAAAAGATCTCCCTTCAAATTCCACTCCCTTCCTGATTAATCACGAACTTCCTTCTCTGGCTAAATCTCTTCCTATATAAAAACTTTTTATTATCAGGCGACAGTTTGCTCAAAAAAATCTCACAACAAATGGTGGTATATAAGGCCGCGTGACCAAATTTAAAATTAAAACACTTATCTGCCTAACAATCCCATTATCCATATATATGTGTGTGTGTGTAATGCATCGTTAATATAATATACATGTGTAATGCATCGTTAATATAATAGGTATTATATAATAAATTAAAAATCGTGGACGTATATGTAGCAAGAAAAATATCTTCCTTATATATATATATACACACACACAAGAGAAATATAGAGAGAAAGAAAAACCTGGTAATTGAGCCTACAATCTGATGATGATAAACTAGGGCATCGTCTTCATCTTGAGAGGAAGAGAACAGATCGATCGAGTGAAAGATTTTCCTTTACTTTCTGTAAATAGTCTTTGGAATTTCGTATGCAGAAAGGAGCTTCTTTCGTTGAAAGCTTGACAGAAGGCAGGGCACATATAATTTGTGTTAAGAAAAGAGTAGAGTTAAATCTCTCACACTTAATTCACGTGCCACCAAAATGTTTGGCGCTAAAATTTCCCACAAAAAAATTGGATAGATATTTTGGGCATTAGAGATGCATTGCACGAGTAATGCTTGCATCCTGTGTAGGCCTGCTGACGTGGCTCCATAAAATTTCTAACACCTATCAATTATTAAGATGGGCATTGCCCATCTATTTGCCGGTTTAACCCATTTTTTTATTCTTTTGCCTTTTTCGCATCTCTTTCACCCCCTCTCAATCCCTAAAAACTTGATCCTTCCTCAACTACACAAATTTTCTTCTCAGTACCCACCGATCAAACCATGAAAGGCGCAACGAAGCTACACCAAATCACAACCCATGCCCAAATCATAACCCATCGCCGACCTCATCTGGTTCGCCCTTGCCGCCGCCATCGTCAAGCTCCTCTTCATCCCTGTGTACGCCACTGGCTCTCCGTTACCTCACTAATACTCCGACGAAACCATTCCATTAACCCTCGAACATCGTCGTTCGTCGCCGCCGATCCTTGAATACCGGCTTGTGACGCTATCTTTGCTCACCGCCGATCCGAACCCCTACCATTTCATCTCACTGTCATTCCTTGCTCGCCGCCGTCCCTTTCATCGCTGCTCGTCGACGACGTTTCAGTCCTTCGTCCTCCGTCCTCGTTGTTCGTCCCCGCCGATCAGCGATGAAGGAGTAGAATTTGAAACAGAAATTTGAAACCCAGCCAACAAGGTACTTTGAAGTATCTCTGCTTAAAAACTTTTGCCAACAAGGAATTGCCATCCAGACCGAATCTCGAGCCAATTTTTGCAAGCAAAGCAGAATTAAAAGCTTGCAATTATTTTAAACCCAGGCCTTCACAATCCTTTGTCAGACACACAACCTGTTCCAGCTGATCCATTTGGTTTTGGGGGATTTGAAGAATAGGTGAAGACATAGAATTAAAAATTTTCTCTTTGTGATTTTGGCTATTTGTTGAATTAGTGGATGTCCATTGAAATATGCAAGGTTAACCTTGCGCCATCAGATTACAGAGAGAGAAGAGATGGAGAAGGAAAACAATAAGATCGGGTTAAACCAGTAAGTAGATGGGCAATGCCCATCTTAATAATTGACAGGTGTTGAAATTTTATGAAGCCACATCATATTTTTTAATTCTTTTAAGAAAGTTTAAACTAATACCCCAACTTAAATTTAATTATTTATTTTTATTATATATGGTGATATCGAGTTTTTTAGGATTTTTGTTTTATTAATTATTTTTGAAAATTACTCTCACTATCCCAAAAAAATGTCCCTTTTGAAAAACTATTACTTACTAATGTTTTTTTAGGAAAACTTTGAATATAAAGCACGGACACGTGGGACAAGGGTATGATACATTTATGAGCCACAACTTTCTAAAAGGGATATCTATTTTTTTTTTTTTTTAAGTAAAAAAAGGGACATCTATTTTGAGAAAGAGGGAATAATTCTTATGAAATCATCTCTCGTCATATAAAGCACAGACATAGGACACACGTACGACACAATAAAGATTTAATGTTTGAAAATTTTAATCATTATATATTAGACTTCTAAGTTTAATTATTTTGTATAAACAATGCATTAATTAGTTTATAGTTTATGCATGTTTTAACTTTGTCCATCATGCAAAAAATAAGAAAATTGATTTTCAAAAAGGAAAATTATTTGTTGGAAAAGTTATAAAATATTTAAATTTCATTTAAAAAAAACCATTTTTTTAGTCTAGGACATCAAATTCATAACACAATGGAGTTTTGTTTCGATAATAAATATTTTTCAATAATGTTTGTTCGATAGGAAATAAACAATTTGGCTAGGAGAGAGAGATGAATGAGATCGACATCCCTAAAGAAGATAGTGTCATTCCCTATTTTTGTTCATCAATCGGATGTAAGAGAAGAGAATAAGCTCGATCACAATTTAGAGTAAAGTGCCTTTACACACCCATGTGATGATATCCTTACAGTGCACACATATATATCAACCCCTTCTTGTGTACAAAACACCATTGATCAATTTGAAAAAAATGTGCAAATACATATCACCAGACACATTAAAGTAAAACATTAAACAAATTACCCTTATATACACAATTTTCATATTATTTAAAGCAAAATTACATTTATGG